AAAAAGAAAATAATGACGATATTTTTTTTTTTTGTCCTGTTACCTCAAGAAAGGCGCATTAGATGAGAACCATAAATCCTTGTTACAGAGGCCTAATCTGGGCTATCCGTGAGCCAAGTTCAGTGCTCACTTTCTCCCGGGCGTGCAAACTAAAATTCCATTCCTCTCTAGCTCTGTTTCCTCTGTGAGGTTTCTGTGAGAACGATAACATTATGTAAACTGTAGGTGATTGAACGGTATTTATTGAATGACTAATGACTGAGGAAACAGTCCTGTGTTTCATTTTACAGCCAGCAAAGATGGAGAGGAACCTGGTGTTTTAAGGGAAAGACTCCTCTGCTCATCTGCTTCCTCCGGCTCCAGTCATGGTGTTGAGAGTGTCTATGGCGGTGGTGCTGGTGGTGAGGAGTCAGTGGCCAAATCTCTGCTTTCTGTGGTGTCGTTCTTGGCAGAAATTGTAGTGTATGTGATCTTGCATGAGGTTGTAGGGTTGGTGATGGCTGAGTTTACAGTGGTGGCATTTGGGATGAGGAGGGGGTGGACGTTGGCAAAAGGGCTGATGCTTTTGGTTCTGGGGAGAAGAGATAAAATTTGGTATTTTGTTTGGATCGAAGCATCAGAATTCTTGGTAACTTGTAGGTGTTCTTGGGAGTTCCCTTCAAGTGTGTGGGACATTTCATTTTGCATGTAGTTTTTTATCATTTGAACCACTTTCTGTCCAATGCAACATTTCCTCTTCTTGCATTTCTGTATCTCCGTTTCACCCACGGCACAGTAGTCTTTGCATCTCCCAAAACCCATTAGACATCTTCTCAAGCCAAAGTACTCTGCACAAAGAAAAGAAGAAACCATTGAGCTAAGGTTAATAGCTAGATATGATATTAAGACTGATGGAGGGAGAGGAATAGAGTAAGAGGTTGTTTATTAGTGCTAAGTTTTTTAAAAAAATGTTTTATTATTTTTGGGAGAGAGAGACAGACTGTGAGCAAGGGAGGGACAGAGAGAGAGGGAGACACAGAATCCAAAGCAGGCTTCAGACTCTGAGCTATCAGCACAGAACCCCAACGCAGGGCTTGGACTCATGCACCATAAGATCATGACCTGAGCCGAGGTCGGCCACTTAACCAACTGAGCCACCCAGGTGCCCCTATTAATGCTAAGTTTTAAATGCAGTCTTAGGGATGTTGATGAAAGTACCTGGCAGGCTAAGAAAGTCTCTGTACACCCCTGAAATCCAAAAATCTAGGGCACATAGAGGAAGGGAAAAAAGGGAAACACAACTTTTTGCTTTAGCATACTATTTTATTTATTTATTTATAATTTATTTTTTAAAGTTTATGTATTTCAGAGAGAGAGCATGAGCAGGGGAGGGACAGAGAGGGAGGGAGAGAGAATCCCAAGCAGGCTCCTTGCTGTCAGCACAGAGTCCCCTATGGGGCTTGAACCCACCAACCATGAGATCATGACCTGAGCTGAAACCAAGAGTCAGACGTTTAACCGACTGAACCACCCAGGCACCGCCAGGATATGATGTTAGACCCCCCACTTAGTATCTTAGACACTTACAGGGCCTCACTGTCTCTCCTCCTGATCCTAGGAAATACCTACAAGAGCAAAATCTGTCATAAAGCTAATCCAAGAAAGAATTTCAAAAGACAGCAATAGGACTTTCAGGAGAGCTGACCTCTTGCCAAACCCAGTGGTCCATGACTTCACTCTCCTTGACTCTTGCTTGACCTGTGGTTCCTCGGGCGTAGTGTTCATCATTTTCAGCCTCTCTGGACATTCTGTCCCTCAGATAATGTCCCTTATTCATAATCATAGCCATAGTCTCATCTCTACCAAGGTAACTCCCACATGGTTATCTATAGCCCTACATTCTCTGCTTTGTTTAGAATCTCATCTTCACCTGATTTTTTTTTTTCCGTCCCAATGTCTTCACCTTTTTTTCTGACTCAGGAAAGTTCTCCCTTGCTCTATAATCTTACCAATTCAACTGATTTTCCATAAATAGTAAGAGGCTTATGTAGTACCTAATGTTCACATACATTTCAACACCCTTTCTCTCCAGAGACAAAACAGTAAACTTCGTATATTTCAAGCAGCTGCATGGGTTAACCTGCTATACTCATGTGGAATCTGAGGCTCAAAGTGGCTAAATGACTTTACCCAAGACAACACGGCCATACCTGCTTATGTTACTTCTCTTAAGGTCCCAAGGTAAAAACATTAGAAATATCTTGACTCTTTCACTTTCCCTTCCCTGACCCATTGCCAGTTGTTCTAAATATCTGGGTGATTCTTGTATTCTGAAACAAGTCTTAACGCTTCTCTTTTCTTTCGAAAAAACAACACTCAGTCCTCTGCTTTAGCATTTTGCCACAATGCTTTCCTAGATGCCCTGATGAGTGATTTGGCAGTTTCCGAGAAGACAAAGCCTGAGAAAAGGGATGAAACTTTACAAATCTGAAAAAGTTGAGATGGAGAACAGAGACCTTTTTACTGGATCCTTAGAGGAGATGTTTTGAGCACAAGGGAAGAGACTTTGTATTACACCAGAGTATAAACTGATATGAACATTTGCTTCAAAAGATGGTTTAAATTAGAAATAGAGCAAAAATGAGGTAGACTTGGCTGAGTCCCAGATGATAGCCATGTAGAGGGCAGGAAGGCAGCCTTTATATGTTGGATAGTTTCTGAGCACACACAGAAAACAGCCTGCTTTCCTGTAGCTCTGCGTATATCCCTATCAGCAGAGTCTAGGATTGGGGCCTATGGGGATGTATGGGGGGCCGTGCATGACTGAGGCAATAGGCAAACTCTTCAGCCATCTGTTTGGGCATCTCATCTGTCAGCATTACTTGGGTTCCCATTGTCATGGACAGCCAAATCCCTGCTTCCTCACACCGACCCCTTTTAATCCCGTGATTCCACATTACCTGTGTTCACCTGGTACTGTAGCATAAGGCTGGCAAAGATAGGAAAAAGGAGCTTCATGGCTGGGCGCCAGAGAGGAAGCCTTCGATCTGGGTTGGTTTTCTTGGGCTCCAGCCTTTATGGGCCTCTTCATGGCCTGAGGCTGTGAGCAGTGAAGTGCAGCCGCGGCTCACAGCAGTTGTATTTTCACTGATTCTGTCTGAGAACAGCTTTCCTGAACGCTTCTGTGCAACATACTTCTGCTCTTGATCCTGCGGGAAACATAAGACATACAAGATATGAGTACTTGGCATCTCCACCGGTTAGCATGAGCACTGGATTACCATGATAATTCAGTGTATGTATGTTGAATGAGTTTGTTGGAGGCAGCTCTTGGCATAACTTAAAAAGAAATTGTTTATTTATCTATTTTGAGAGAGAATGAGAACGAGCTAGCAGGGGAGGGGCAGAGACAGAGAGGGAGAGAATCCCAAGCAGGCTTTGTGCTGTCAGCACAGATCCTGATGTGGGGCTCATTCTCACCAACCATGAGGCCATGACCTGAGCCGAGATCAAGAGTCAGTTGCTTAACCAACTGAGCCACCCAGGCGCCCCTTGGCATAACTTGAACTTTTTTATTGAGATATAATTGACATATAACATTTGTTTCAAGTGTTCAACGTAATGATTTGATATTTGTATATATTGTGAAATGATTATGACAGTAAGTCTAGTTAACATCCATCACTGCACTTTTAAGATTTACTGTCTTGCAACTTTCAAATATACAATATAATATTATTGACTATAGTCACCATGTGGTACATTATATTCCTGGGACTTACTAATTTTCTAACTGGACATTTGTATCATTTGATGATCTTTACCCATTTTGCCCCCCTTCACTCCCCCCACCCTAGGCAACCACCAATCTGTTCTTTGTATCTATGAGTTCATTTATTTTTAGATGCTGCATATAAGTGAGATCATATGGTATTGCCTTTCTCTGTCTTGACCTAATTCACTTAGCATAATGCCCTCAAGGTCCATCCGTGTTGTTGCAAATGGCAGTATTTTCTTTCTTATGGCCCATTTTATATATACTACATTTTCTTTATCCATTCATTCATCAGTGGACACTAAAGGTTGCTTTGATGTTTTGCTATTGTAAATAATGGTATAATGAACATGGGGGCGGTGTAGATGTATGTCTTTGAGTTAATGTTGTTGTTTCTTTCAGAAAAATACCCAGAAATGGAATTGCTGGATCATAATGATAGATCTGTTTGTAATGTTTTGAGGACTCTCCGTACTGTTTTCCATAGTGGTTGCATCCATTAGCATTCCTACCAAAAGTGCATTAGGGGTCTTGTTTTTCCCACATTTTTGCCAACACTTATTTCTTGTCTTTTTGATAATAGCCGTTCTAACAAGCATGAAGTGATATTTCATTGTGATTTTGATTTGCATCTCCCTGGTGATTAGTGATACTGAGCACCTTTTAATGAACCGCTTGGCCCTCTGTATGTCTTGTTTGGAAAAATGGATCGATTCTCTATCCATACGTAATTAGATATGTTGTTGTTGAGTTGTATGAGTTCTTTATATATTTTGGATATTAACCCCTTATCATGGTTTGCAAATATTTTCTCCCATTTGGTAGGCTGCCTTTTTCTTCTGTTGATGGTTTCCTTTGCTGTGCAGAAGCTTTTTGGTTTAGTGTAGTCCCATTTGTTAGTTTTTGCTTTTGTTTCCTTTGCTTTTGGTGTCAAATCCAAAAAAATCACTGCCCAGACTGATGTCAGGGAGCTTACTGCCTATGTTTTCTTCTAGGAGTTTATGTTGTCAGATCTTATGTTCAAGTCTTTAACTTTGAGTGAATTTTTGTGTGCAGTGTGAGGTAGTGGTATAGTTCATTCTTTTGCGAATTCTTTTGTGACTGTTCAATTTTCCCAACACCATTTATTGAAGAGACTGTCCTTCCCCTATTGTATATTCTTGGCTTCTTTGTCATTAATGAATTGACTATATATCTGTGAGTGTTATTTCTGGGCTCTCTCTTCTATTGTTCTGTGGGTCTGGATTTAGGCTCAGACCATACTGTTTTGATTACTATAGCTTTGTAATGTAATTTGAGAAAAGGAAGCACCAGGGCTATAGCTTTGTTCTTTCTCAAAGTTCCTTTGGCTATTTGGGATCTTTTGTGGTTCTATTCAACTTTTAGGGCTGGTTGTTCTATTTCTATGAAAAATTCCATTGGAATTTTGATAGGGACTGCACTGAATCTATAGACTGCTTTGGGTAGTATGTCCGTTTTAACAATACTAATTCTTCTGATGCGTGAGCATGAAATATCTTTCCGTTATTTGTGTCACCTTCAATTTCTAGCATCAATATCTTATACTTTCAGTATGGGTCATGAAAGTATAGGTCACCTCCTTGGTTAAATTTATTCCTAGCTATTTTATTCTTTTAGGTGAAGTTGTGAATGGGATTGTTTTCTTCATTTCTCTATAGTTCATTATTCACGTTTAGAAACACAACCGAGTTTTGTGTATTGACTTTGTGCCCTGCAACTTCACTGAATCACTTACTAGTTTTACCAGTTTTTTGGTAGAGTCTTTAGGGTCTTTTGTGTGACAATATATCCTGTGCCAATAGTGACAGTTTTTCTCCTTCTTTTCTCACATGGATGCCTTTAATTTCTTTTTCTTGCCTAATTGCTCTGGCTAGGATTTCTCATAGTTTGTTGAAATAAAGGTGGTGGGAGTGGGCATCTTTGTCCTTTTCCTGATCTTAGAGGAAAAGAGTTCAGCTCTTCTCCATTGAGCATGATGTTAGCTGTGGACTTGTCATATGTGGTCTTTATTGTGTTGAGGTATGTTCCCTCTATAGCCATTTTGTTGAGAGTTTATATTATAAATGGATGTTGAATTTTGTCAAATGCTTTTTCTGCATCTATTGAGATGACTGTATGATTTTTATCTTTTATTGAGTCACATGACGTCTGATTTGCAGACGTTCAACCATCCTGCATCCCTGGAATAAATCCCTCTTGATCATGGTGTATGATAGTTTTAATGTGTTGCTGAAATTTGGCTTGCTAATAATTTATTGAGGGGTTTTGCATCTATGTTCATTAAGGATATTGGCCTGTAATTTTCTTTTCTTATGATATGCTTGTCTGATTTTGGTATCAGGGTAATGCTGGCCTCATAATATAGTCATAAGTTATTTTGCTACTTTTGTTTTTTAACCTTCATACTAGCTTTACAAGTAATTAACCTATCACCTTTACAACACTAAATTATTCTGAATTTTACTGTATACTTTTACCAGTGAAATTTATACCTTCATGTTTTCCTGTTACTAATTAGTTCCCTTTCATTTCATCTTAAAGAAGTCCCTTTAACATTTCTTGTAAGGCTGGTCTACTTGCGTTGAATTCCTTTAGCTTTTGCTTATCTAGAAAACTCTTTATGTTTCCATCAAGTCTGAAGAACAGTTTTGCCAGGTAGAGTAGTCTTGATTGGCAGTTTTTCTTTCAATGCTTTACATATATTGTGCCACTTTGTTCTGGCTTGTAAAGTTTCTGTTGAAAAAAATCTGCTCATTTTGTCATATGGTGAGTCCTTGTATGTAACAAGTTGTTTTTCTTTTGCTTCTTTTAAGATTCTCAACTTGTCTTTAAAATTTGAAACTTTAATTATAATGTGCCTGGGTGGGTCTTTTTGGGTTCATGTTTTTTGGAACTCCCTGGGCTTCCTGGATCTGCTTGTCTGTTTCCTTCCCAAGGTTAGGGGAATATTCAGTCATGATTTCTTCAAATAAGTTTTCTGCCCCTTTTTCTGTCTCTTCTCCTTCTGAGACCCCTATAATGTGAATGTTGGTTCACCCGATATTATCCTATAAGTCCCTTAAGTTTTCTGCTCTTTTTATCATTCTTTTTTTTGTTTGTTTGTTTGTTTTTTGTTTTTTGCTGCTCTGATTGGGTGAGTTCCACTGCCCTTTGTGGTCACCGATGCTTTCTTCTGCTGCATCTAGTCTGCTGTCAACCCCCCACCCATTGTACTTTTCAATTCAGTTATTAGGTATTATTTTTTT